CAGGTCTTTATTAACATTAGTCTAGATCTAGATTTTTAGAACTATACGCTGATTCTAGTTATGATAGAAATCTATGCATGCAGCATAGGCTTTGAATAACTGAACTTCCAGAAAATAAAAAAATAAATCTGCTAGATTCTAGACTCGAGTTGCAGCTAAGCTGCTAAAGACTAACACTAAGGTTACTAAACTAAGAGCATTAATTTAATATAATACTAGATTCTAGATATTAGTAGGCCTAATCGCTAATAATATTAATCTAGGCCTAATAAATATATTATAGGACTTTTATAAAAAAAAAAATCAAATAAGGAATTGATATTTCGGGGAGGAGGGGGGTGGACACTGGTAAATCTATTTGTTTTCCATATAAATATAAATTCCATTTCGTTGGTGTGTGTGTGGTGTGGGGGGGGGGGGGGGGGCGCTGTAGATTTTCTTCAGGGGGGGGGGGGTGCAGAAGAGATGCCTGGAAGAAACTCAGGACCCCATTGAGATTTTATTTCACTTTTTGCTTGGGGGGGGGGGGGGGGGGGCTAGTTAACTTAGTGACTTAGTAGGCCTACTACTTAATCTAGTTAGTAGACATGTTTGTAGAGATTGATGATCTAAAAAATTTGTAAATCCTTAAATAAAACATTTAAAAAAAAACTTATACTTATAGGCCCAGATTTAGACTTAGAATCTAGATCTAGATTTAAAAATAGATCTAGAGTATCCCAATTTTTCCTCTAAGTCCTCTAAGATAGCTAAAATAACCTTAACTGTGATATTTTTTAGCTTTCTATACAAGCTATTTAATAGTTAACCCTGTTCTATAAGATATGATTGGTTCGATTTATTCCTCTAGTCCAGGGCCTAATGCCCTTCATCCGGGTGATGTTACCTACATAAAACGTCATATCTCGCAATTTTTGAAAATTTCCAATAAAATTCCTATAGGATTGAAATAGAAGAATTTTCATTGACTATGTTATGTATGTTAACTAAACAAATCCATCATGCTTTACCTGGTTGCTATGGCATCTGTTCTTTAATTTAGTAGTATGTTTTTACTTTTAAGTACTGTTATAATCAATAGTTCCGCTATATAGGCCTATATAGGCATAGAGAAAACTTTTTCATGTATAATGTTTTTCTCTCTTTAAAACAAGATTGCCAACAGCAGTTGATGAAAAATGCAAATTACAGAAGTTATAGAAAAGCTGAGATGCTGTAAAAACACAGAACCTGCATATAAAGTCAAAGAGAAAACATATTCTATGCTCTATAGGTTGGATTTTTTTTCTTCCTTATTAGTTACATCTCTTCTAAATCATCTGATTATTTCAATAGCTGGATTATGAAGTTAACTTGGAATAGCATTTAAAACATTTTTTTAAATGATAAAGAAGATAATTTTCATCATAAGAAACTAAAATGTAAAGCTTTAAAAAACTATAAGAATTTTGACATATACTTAAATACAAAAAAAATTGAATGGAAGATTTGTTATACCTTAATACCTTTCACTAAAATAGTTATAAAACATTTAGCTTGTGCTAAAGTAATTGATTTTTAATCAAGACCTGTGATGGATTTTTTATACCATAGGTCGATAATAAAATCTTTTTAAACAAGGGGTGTTAGGTAAATCACTGGTAATTAACTAAATACACTTATGGCTTGCAAATGTCAATGCTAACCCTAGTCCTACCATACGCCAACCCTAATTTCTAACTATAAAACTAGTCTAGATTACAATATTACTAACACACCAATTTTTGGAAGAGTCTATTATCGGGCATCAATATCACCAGTCACCAAAATCTTAATTGCATTTTATTTTTCCAGTAAATTAACAACAGGCTGCATCCAGCTATTAGATCTACAATCCCATTCATCAGAACTTTTAAAGTCAGTCTGTCGAGATATTCTTCTAGAAAATGCAAATCTGGTTCTTTCCGCACTACAAATCCTTCACTTGATTCTTAATGATAATTCAAGTAGCAGGTTGGAAATTTTTAAAATTAAAAATGTTTTTTTTATGAAATATTTATTACTGTCATGTTGTGTCATAATTAATGATGAAAAGTAGCTCATGTCATTCCAGTATTTCCATCTGGGGCATTTGTCGTCATGGCTAGTGTTATGTAACATGCTAGTTGGTGGACAGCTATAAATTAATCCGATCTTCTTTCAGTAGATTTAGGCAGCAGTTGTTCATTAGAATTAAAAAGTATCTAGTATGTTTTTTAATTAAAATGTTTATTTATTTTAACTCAAGCCCAGGACCAGATGTTGACTTAATTTTTTCATCACTGGTGATGCGCCTCAAGCACTACATGTCAATAGATGTCACAAAACTAGTTTTTCAGTGTTTAGCCGCAGTAGAGTTTACAACTGACTGTGTTGTTAAAGAGGTATTTTAAGTTAAATTTTTGTTCATGTTTTGGAAATATTTGTATCTATTAAAACAGTATATCTGTTTGTGGCAGTATTTTAAAGCATTACACTGGTATTTGTAGGCAAGGATAGCAAGTTAAACCACTTTAACTATAAAGCTGAAATAGCACACAATATCTTGTACATATCAGCAGCAGCAAAATATTTGGGTTACTGTAAAATATGACACAATTTCAGCAAGCAACAAGTCACTTGTGTGTGATTTAATAATTCGGTGTTAAACTTTTGTATACATCATCAATTAATTCACACCATGAAACTGTGGACTATAATATGCAGCACTGGTAGAAATAACCAGAAATGGACATGTTATTCTAAATCTATGTGAGAACAATCAAGGTACTAAAGAATAAGTATTTATGAACTAAAAATAACCAATGTGAACAAAACATGATTAAATTTACTTTTTGTCTAACTAGATTCCAAATCTTGTGAAATGTATGGAAGAATTAAGTGACCATATTGCTCAGGAAGGAATGCCTCACAAAGAAATTGTAGATTTGTTTACTAGGTACAGCATTATCTACCTTACAAGCTTGATTGTATGATGTTTTAGTGTTTACAGTATGATTTGAATTTTACTACCTTACAATTATCAGATGTAATTTGTTGTATTTTTAAGAAATTATGTTATAACTTTATATAACATTTCTATTTCAGGTTTGAAACTTATTTGGGGGAAAGTCTTGCAGCATCATCACATAGCTGGTCTGTTTTTATTTTCCCTGGCCTTTCAAATATTGAAGAAACAGTTCGAGAAAAAAGCTTTGCACTGTTGGATAAATTCACTGCAACACTGAGTCAGTCTCAACCAGTGGCTCAACACTTGGCAAAATTAATTTCTGGTGTATGTGTTGTTATTCTTTTATTACTGGTGTATGTGTTATTATTTTTTATTACTTGTGAATCTATTTTTGCTTTCTGGTGAGTCTTTCCTGTATTTTTAAGAATTAACATGATTTGTTTTTTTTAGATAACTATTATTTTAATTGTATGCACAGTTTCTGTCATTTGGTTGTATGTCCTATAATGTTTAGTTTGTATATATATTTAATGATGTAAAATTAACTTTATAAAGCTTTAGTCTTACTTCTGAAGTGTCAAAGCTCACAATGAATATCAAGAGAATTTTTTTTCCTTTCCAAGCCAATAATGTTTACACAATTTCTCAGTTAATATTTATTTTTCTAGGGATTGGCACTCTCATTAAAACAGACCTATACCAATAATGAATTATTTGTTATCAAATCATGGATGCTCATTGTCAAAGTTCTAGGAAAGGTAAGCATAATTTTGAAAAGCTAGAAAGTGTTTGTCTAAATGGTTTATTAGTAAATAGTTACTGCTCTTATTTTTTAAATTCAGAGTTAAAACAGTTTCCTCAAAAAAAAATTTTAAAATTTTATTTTCTAAGTTAACCATAAAAACATTGCTTTTAACAAACAATTTTTGTTCAGGAACTTCATCGAGGTGGAAGTACAATAAATGCATTATTGGGAATTATTGAACTTGCGTTCAAGGGTGTACCTGAAATAAGAAGTCAAGCTTTTGTTGCATGGCGATATCTAATTGATAATTTTGCTTTGGATAAAAGTAAATATTTTTTATTTCAACATCTTAGTTTGAATTTGATTGCACATACTATTTTAGTTATATTATTTTTAATATAACTGTCTGTTAAAATAAAACTGTATGAATAAAAAATTGCAGATGTTATATCAGATCCAAAAAGAATTAAACTTTTGATGATGGTAATGAAAATTGATAACTCCAAAACTGAAGATGTTGCACTTGAAAAGCTGAAAACCTGGTGGCATATTATAATATCATTGGATGCTAAACTATCTGTAAATTTTGAACAAGTAAGTTTGGTTTTAATATTAGTATGTTTAATAAAAGACAAAAATATCACCTCATCATAGTGCCTTTGTATACATTTTCATCTCTCTCTCCCCCCCCCCCCCCCCCCCCCCCCCCCATATATTGAAGGAAGTGGTTTTTTGTCTGTAAATTATGGTTAATGTGTTTAAAAATATTTCCTTATTAGGAGTTTTTATGATGTTTTTTATGATGAAGTTTTTTTTTTGTGGCATTCTAGATTGTTTACCCTTTGCTGCAGTTCTGTGTGGGTAGCATCAAACTTCAAAATTCAGCTGCTAAAATTGGTCAGTCACCTAGATTGGGTAAGTGTAGCGTTTTAATAAATTTAGATAAGTGTAATAGAACTGCTTGGTTTTGATAACAATCTATCTGATAAGGCAAGAAATTACTACTTATTGTGTATGTAAAAAGAAATTTTGTTATGATGTATAATATCTAATAGATCTACATGTTTTCTCTGATTTAGCTTTAAAAAGTCCAAACAGTCCAGCTACTCCAGGACTTGCCAGCCATAAGACATCAGTTTACCTCATAATTCAGAAACTTGGCTGTCAGGTTGTGGCACATCTCTTGAAAACAACAGAACACATTGCACATGAAATTGATTGGACACTAGGTAACTTTAAGATAACTTGCTTAAATGGTTGTTTTTTAAAACATACTCAAAAATGCAATTTCTAGTTTATTCTTAGAGAAATTTAATTTTAAAGTGATTCTTTACTTTCAATAAATTTAATTTTTATTTCAAAGCTCCTTTAACGCATGAGGTTTTTGTTGGCTCCTCCTCATTTGTCAAACATGCTCCAGTCATTATAAATACAGTCAAAGACCTTTTTCTGAATGTTGGCAGTGATATTCAAGGTAACAATGTTTTTAAAAAATAAACTAAATTAAAAACTCTCTATTTTTTAAGTTCTCTGTAAGCATGGTTATGATCCACCCATTTTGAGTTGTAAATTGAGTGTATTGGACTCATTTACCCAGCCCAACAAATGTAATTCTATTTGTTATCTGCAATTCAAAGTCATTCTGTATTGTAATTCCTTTATGGGTGGGAAACATAGTGGCAAGTGAAGAACTAACAATAAATACAAAAATATTGGACCTTCAGGATATGACTGCTGAAACTACTGTAAATCAAGAGGCAATAAGGTTTATGTCTTGTTGATGCTGTTATAGAACTTTTCGATCTGTTCAATGACAGTGGGTGTAATATCACTATCAACTTCATCCTTTTTACTTTTTTGTATACAAAGTACAGAGGAAATATTGTAATCGTGCAAAAAATCTAAATCGAAATTTTCCCAAATTCTCGTTTTACACCTCCCTGAGTTGGAAAAGCATAGGTTTGCAATTTTGTCTGTGTGTGTGTATGTCTGTGAACACGATAACTTGAGTACCATTACAGCTAGGTTCATGAGATTTCATATACAAGTTTTATACCAAATTTGTAGTTCTGTGTCAACTTTTCATCGATTTCATATAACCGGATGTGGAACTTATTCTACTTTTGGTTTTTCAAAAGCCTATAACTTGAATACTGTTTCAGGTAGATAAACAAAATTTCACATACTATAAAATTTTGAGTAATTTCCATTTACCTGAATAAGTACTTTATGCTTTTTGCGATTTCACAAAATATAAAGTACTAATATTCCACACTATTATAAACACATTGTTTGCTGTTCACTTTGTGCGCAATTCTTTTATCTACGTGAGTCTGTTCTATTTTAAAAAGTTTAAGTAACTAAAAAAAATAGATTAAAAATCATGTCTATATCCTGAGTTGCCATCCCCCGTAGTGTTATATAAGTGTATTCGAGAAAGTTTAGGGGAGATCACTCCAGCTTTATTTGCTGTGTGGTCAGGCTATAAAAATACCCTATTAAGCTATTTCAGTCATGTTTATCCATACTACTAATTTTTTGGTATTGTCTTTTTGCTTGATTTCTCTTTAAAAATGTATACAAGTGTATTCCACTCTGGAAATAGCCTGACTGGTAAATCGTGAGGTTCAGCAGTTAAGATCACTTATGTCATAAAAAAATGGTGGTGACTTTTAAATTATTTTTCATGTTTTTTATATTTCAGAATCATTAGCCATTTGTATATGGATGGCTCTGGCAGATCATCTTAAATCTGCTTTTGACAGCTCTGTCAAAACAGAATGTCGTGATGTTTTTAGCAGCTTTCTGTCATTATTACAAACTGTTGTGCAGTGTAACATATTTCCTACATCTACTGCCTGGGTATTTGAATTATTAATTTTTTATAAATAAATTGAAGTCTTTTTAAAAAGCTTTTTAAAAGTTGTTCCCTTGACAGGAAAAATTGTTATTTTAAGTGAGATTTGTCTTTTATTTATTTCCATAGCGAATGATAGAAGCCTGCTGCAGTTTCCCTCAAAAGGTTTTGGCCTCCACTGCCTTTACTATTAGCAGTGGTGTTTCAGTCAGGGTAGGTTGTAAAGGTTTTTTTTTAATGTGCTGCTTACCTGATCCTTTTTATGCCTTTCTTTTAAATTTTTTGATAAGCTGTTTTATTTATTTTCAAACAACTAGTACAATTAAATCTTGGATTGCCAGAATTAGTGTAAAAAGTGTGTTTATCGCCCCTTGCTGTAGGAAAACCTACTCTCTAGTACTTACACCAGCAACATTCAGCTTGTTGTCCCAATACAAAAAATTTGTATTGGTATAAATCTGTTTTAGCTTTAGTTAGATTTAAGAAACAGTTGTAAATCACACTAATCCAAGGTTTGACTGTATTTTTAATCATTGAAGTTTACAACAATGTTCTACATCATAAAAAATAAAAAGCTGTTTTTATCTTCTGAGCAGTCAAGTCCAGCTTTGTTTTTGTCTGAGATTTTGTTGAGCCAGTGTGTTCAAGAAAGTTTCCCTGCTCAGGCCAGGTAAAGTCAAACTAAAAGTTTTTTTAGAAAATTGATAGTTTTTGTCTTATTTTTGTTTTATAGTTAAAAAATAATGGAAACTTATATGTCATTTTGTTAAATAATTGTTCATTGTTTTCTAAGATTAAAGCTAGAAAAAAATGCTTTATGACCTTAAAATCTTTGTTATCACATGTTCACAGTTTAAATCATCTGTTGTCATTGCTTGTTGATGCTGGTGTGAGCAACAAACAAGGTGCATTACAGTTCCTGCAGTCTGTTACAAGCTTTCTTGATACACAAGCCAAACTTATATCATCTGCTTCGTTGTTTAATGCTTGGCATATCTTTGCCATAAAGTTACAAACCCATGTCAGCACTGTGAGTTTCTGCTAATGGATTGTGCAAAATGATTTGTACTAATTATTTACTACTTGTAGGTAAAGAAAAACTAAGAACAATAATATTAAAATCAATTTTCAGACAAATGAAGTCAATCAGGGGGATGCGCTTGAGTACAACTTTGGCTGCATGTACGCTGTTCTTCTGTTCCCACTCAAGCATGATTTCCCCAGCAAATTATTACCAGTGAGTATACTGAATTTGTATGCCTATTGACTAAATATCAGTAACTCAGTATTTTAAAAAAACAGTAATCCTAGTTTACAAATATTTTCTTCTGAGTGTATTTTGTGGGACAGTGATTGATTACTAACTTGATCTATTGATGAAATACTTGATGCTTTAGTCTTAAGTTTGGTTTATAGCGCCATATTTGCCGTGTGACCCTGAGTTCACCTAACTATGAAAGCTAGTTGACTTAGCTTTGGAAAGTAAGTCAACTGGGCTTAATGCTGACCACACTGAGCAGGGATGCCAGGAAATCCCGGATTCGATAATCATATTTTTTTCCCTTTCCGGAATCGCAAGATTTGAGATTTAAAGTTTCTGGGTTTGCAGTTTCAAAAAAATTATCGCTTTAAGCTTGAAAATTTTGGCATTCTAGAAATCATTTTTATCTTCAAAGCTTATGGCCCTTTCCACCTTTTGCCCATTCTTCAACAGTACAATATCCACTGCTGTGTAAACCTAAGATTATAATAATTATTACCTGTCACTTTCATTGTCTTTGTCTACCTGACATCTCACGAAATTTTGGTCACTGGGACTTTGTATTTTCTTTTAGGTCTATCCTGACTTATCGCAGTGCTGGATCTAGATCTGTAACTAATTTTCCTAATTCCAGTAGGCCTATTTATTGCTTTTGAGAAAAAAAACAATTGCAAATGAAGTCACAATCTCACATGCTCTATGGACCAAATACAAATCGGCTGTATCAGATGGGTGAGGCTGTAGATGGAACTTTTTGATGTCTCTCGTGGTGTAGCTGTCTGGCTATTAATGACTACATGGGTTGGCCGTAAAATTCGCATTATTTACGTGACATCATCAATAGGTTACCACTAGACCAGTGGTTCCCAAACTTTTTTGAGTGGTGACCCGCGACCCCCATAACATTAAAAGTGAAATTAGTAAGGAAATTCATAAACACCAAGATAACATTTTTCTAGCATAATGTTAATGTAAATTATTTTTGATAACTGTTTTAATGCGATGGGTGGAACTGCATGATATTAACTAGCCTCAAAATTTGCGGTTGGGTTTTTGTTAACGCCAATTGCATCATGAAAAGAGATAATATTTGTTTCTTTTCCCTGAAGCTTCAGGTTAAGCCTATTTTGCTGTTCGAATATCTGCTAGATATGCTACTCTCTCCATCCACTCTTTGTCGTTGAAGTATATCAAAAGATCTTGTTTCCCTTGCACTTCCAAGAACAGCTTGATTTCGTCTTTCAATTCAAAAACATGATTCACATTTCCTTTTGACAGCCGGTGAACTGCAGTGTAGAAAAGCAGAACCTCATGATCATAATTCATTTCTTTGCACCGTTCTTTGAATAGACTGGTGTTTAGGGCTCCAGATTTAATGTAATTTACAACTTTTATTATCGCATTAAGTGCCTCTTGCAGAGGAGTCGGAACAGTTTTGCTGGTGAGAGCATACCGCTGAATCATGCAGTGGATTCCTCTTGATTGGGGAGCTTTTACTTTTTCCTGAAAGTCCAATTTTGATCCAAGCACCATCTGTACAAACCCCACAGCAGTTTTCCCATTTTAATCCTCCTGGATAGTATTATTAGACAAAGATATTTGTTGCATGTTAACTGCACTGGAATCCCCAAGAACATTTTTTACCATCTTCAGATAAATCAGACTCAACTATATCTGCACTGCAGACTGTCTGGTTTACTAAACATTTTAAAGACATTACTTTGCCTAGTTTACATTCCATTTTATTATTTATTAAAAGCTACAACTATTATTGCCCTTGTTGTGTATAATGCATTTAAAACAAGAGAGACAGTAGTTGTACTCTGTTTTTATCCATTTTATGATATGTTATGACTTAAAAAACCTATTATAAATCAGATTTTTTGTGTGAACTCCTTTTCAGGCTGATTGTCGAGCATTTATTAAGATCTGGAAAGATTTGTATCATAACTTTGCCAGACTTTCTGCCCTAGTCCCTACAGCTGAGGCCAATGCATGTTTTGAGCACTTGTCAGCAAAAATAATCCTCTTATGGAATCCATTGTTTGAGGTAGTTTGATATAACAAACTTATTTTATTTAAGCTAGTAGCTGTAGAAAATTATTATTTAGTATTATTTTTTTTAGTAAGCCTAATAGTATAGAGAATAATTTTTTTTAATCAGCTTGAGTTTTTTTCCCCCTCAGTCACCAGTAACTTTGGAGTGTTTAGCCTGTCTGTGTTTGAAGATGATTGACTGTGTAGACTTTTCATCCATTTCCTTGAACCATTCACTTTCCACAAGTCCTAGCAAATGGGCACGCAAAAGGCAAAAGCCTTTGGGAAGCCTACATTCATTTGTTCACTTGCTTGCTATTTTACAAAGCAAAACAAATGTAACTCTTTCAAAGTTAGATGAGGGAAAGATTGTTGAAGTAAGTGTTTTTCTTAAATGATAAATCATTTTAAGTAATTGATTAATTTCTCCATATACTTCCCAAAAATTTTAACAGACTTTCATTTCAAAAGAAAAATTACTTCATTAGTAATGTATAAATAACTTTTATTTTGCAGCCACAGCATATAGCCCTTGTGCCCTCTCTAGTCACTTCATTAATAGACATTTATTTGAAATTGTTTAGTCACATAACAACAAACAGTATCATCATTAACTGCCTGTCAACTTTAGCTGCACCTATTGCATATTTATATCAGCCTCAAAAGACTACTTCATTTAACATCAAGGTATGTCATATCTTTTATAATTTTGACTATTTTATTAATAACTAGCGTGCCCGTCCCTGCGCTATGCCGCGGTGTTAGAAGAAAGTCTGACGAAATATATTAAGAGAGTTTCATCAATGCGTTACCAATCCTATATTCTTAGACGTGACCTTGTTATGAAAACTGAGTTATTTAATTGTAAACAATGCCTGCGCTTGGATCAAATTCATCGAGGCACAGGTTTACCTACACTACCCATGGAGTGCTGTATGAAAGCATTGAGTGTACATTAATCACTCTCCCTAATTGTGAGGTAGAACACACTTCGGTGACCGCCCAGGTGCCAGGGACGTAGCAGGGCCCTTTCTGGCGCCCCCAATTAAGCTACCGCAGGGTCGCAGCGCACAGCCCCTGGCTACGTTTAATCTTCGAATGTTGTGTGCCAGTGTCAATATTGTAGTGTTCTCCTTAATACTAACGTAGGTGTCATATTCCTCACAGGATAGCTTTGGGCATCGACTGACACGCCTGATTTTATTTACTGAACGATTATAATAACACATCTAATCCATAGTCTATCACACTTTTAAATTGAACGAAGGTGCCACATTGCTCACGGGGTAGCCAAGGGCGCCAAATTGCACCCTGCTGGGGTGCCGGCCTATTCGCCTGATTCAATTTATTGAACGACATTAATGCCTCATTTTATTTATTATCTGTTGCAATATTTAAAACAAATGTAGGCACCATAGTGCTCACGGAAAAGGCCGGGGCGAAAAATCGGGGGGGGGGGGGTACATATGTCCTTAGGGGATGCCAAAATAAGTTGAAAAAAAAGCTCATTTTAGCTGCAGTTTTGCATTATATATATAAAAAATATTGGGGGGGGGGCGGCCAATTGAAAGTTTGTCTCCAGGAGTATTCTCAACAACTTCCCAAAGTTTTATGGCGATTAGATGGAAGATGTAGTTATGCATAAAAGACAAACATACACACATACATAGCATTTTTATATATATAGATTTGTTTGCTTGTTAAAGACTTTGTATTAATAATACCTGCTGGTTTGCTTTGTAGAGGAAATTTGCAAAATTCAGCATGCTTAGAATTAGTTACAAAATTTATCAGGAAGCTTAAAAAATAAAACTCATAGCTTATTTGTAGTATTAAAAAAAGTAAAGTTACCCTTTTTGCCCTGATGGTCAAAGACAGGTAGAGTTCTCATGTCCGAGATCCAAAATCAAAACTTTTGGATTAGTGCTTCAAGACTTTTGGATTAGTGCTTCAAGATTTTTGGATTAGTGCTTCAATGTCGGCCATTGAAATTTAGTAAATTTTGTTTTTGTTCAACAGTTGGAAAAACTTTGGCAAGAAATGTGCAACTGTGTTTCTAGTCGCTACTGTGGACAGTATGATTCTGAATTCTTAGAGTACATGTCCCCGCTACTAACCAACAACTTTGTGCACAGTTGTCGAAGCATAAAAAACCAGACTTTTTCTTTCTGGAACATAACTTTCAGTCGCTTGTCAACTCTTGTGTACCCTGATGCACTTAAGTAGGTTTTTCTGTATTACTGGTATAGTAAGCTATTTCATTTTAATTACAATCAATTTAATTACAATAAATATGTAATGCTGATCATTAAAACGAGCAGTATTCTTATTTAAATTTAAAATATTGTTTCTGTTTTAGACCTGTTCTTGCTCAGTTGAAGGAAAGGAAAGTGATAATTCTTCCAGGATGGATAGGAAATGAGGAGACACCAACAGTAATAGCGGAAACACCCTTTAGTGAAATGAACATGGTTTGTTATTTAGTTATTTTTGAGTTACCCTCATTACCTTTTACTAGTAGAGAATTAAGCCCACATAATTAGTCACTCTACAACAACAAGGTTATATCAGCCTATATTATTTATAAAATGCTTGACCTGGGGCAATCAAATGTAGATTGGTGCGGTCGGTTAATATATGTTCAAGTTGGAGCAGTTATATTGTAAATTTATTTTTCTATAGCATTTAGTACATTGGGTAGATGTCAGTTAAATCCTGATGTCTCAGTCTTAAAGTAGTGATGTACGTTTCATAACAGGGAGAGTCACAAGTGATTGAATCTGAAATACCAGGCATGCCATCTCCTAAGCAGCAGAAAAGAAGCCTTCTTTCATCTCCGAAGTTATCACCCAGTCCAGGAGCCAAAGCATCACCTGTAAAAGTGGTTGATCCTAAAACTCATAGTTTTTTCCCATCAGCTTGTAAAAAAATAGCTGTTGATCTCCTTCCAGATAAGGTATTTTAAAAATCAACTCACTAAATTAAAATGGTGACTACTTTCTTTTAAAACTTATGTTTATATCAATTAAGCTGGTAAAATAATTAAGACATTAATCAAGCAGCCTTCCTGATTTGTAGGATTTTGTGGTTATCAGTTCACCGTCTACCCAAAAAAAAAGACTTTTGACAGAACATCAAAAAGAGATGATGAAAGAAAAACGGTAAGACCCGCCATGCTACACGCCATGAGCTCAATCGCATTTTTTTTCTCGTAAGGTTTAATTAGAATCTCTGCAAAGGTGCTCAATTTTTTTTATACGGTTTAATTAGTCTCCACTATGTTGCAGGGCATAAGTTTAAAACTTTTTTTTTACAGAAAGGCTAAAATTTCTCTCTGGCATGTCTAAGTACCCAACTGTAACCTTTTACAGGCCTATGCAGCCTAGAAAACAACCAAATAGAATCTATTGCAGCCCTTTTCAATGTACAAACGTATTTTCAAAATGAGTTCTCTAATAACTAATTTTTCTGTGAATTTTAGCATTCTTCCTGCCATGTATAACAATTTAGATGCCTCTCAAGATATTTCCCTAGGATCACAGTTTGCTAGTGACACACAACAAGAGTAAGTTTTTGTTTCCATTGCTTTTAAGATTTTCAGTTGATTTTAATTGTTCCCTTATGTGTGACATTGAGAGGATTTTGATTGTTCCCTTATTTGTGACATTGAGAGGATTTTAATTGTTCCCTTATGTGTGACTTTTAGAGGATTTTGATTGTTCCCTTATGTGTGACATTGAGAGGATTTTAATTGTTCCCTTATGTGTGACTTTTAGAGGATTTTGATGTTCCCTTATGTGTGACATTGAGAGGATTTTAATTGTTCCCTTATGTGTGACTTTTAGAGGATTTTGATGTTCCCTTATGTGTGACATTGAGAGGATTTTGATTGTTCCCTTATGTGTGACATTGAGAGGATTTTAATTGTTCCCTTATGTGTGACTTTTAGAGGATTTTGATGTTCCCTTATGTGTGACATTGAGAGGATTTTAATTGCTCCCTTATGTGTGACTTTTAGAGGATTTTGATGTTCCCTTATGTGTGACATTGAGAGGATTTTAATTGTTCCCTTATGTGTGACTTTTAGAGGATTTTGATGTTCCCTTATGTGTGACATTGAGAGGATTTTAATTGTTCCCTTATGTGTGACTTTTAGAGGATTTTGATGTTCCCTTATGTGTGACACTGAAAGAATCTTCATTTTTCCATTTGGTTGTTTTATGTGTGATGCTGACTTAGATTGATGCATATATTTATTCCATCAGTGAGTCCACCGCAGATCTTGCTGTAAATAACACAAGCGATGTTCAAGAAAAGGTTAATACGGTACAAATTTTTTTCTATTTGTCTTTTTTAAATAAGTATGAAATAATTCTCAGTTTACAAATTGTCATTTTACTGTATTTTTGACACATATAGTTAAGACATTTATTTTTAATAGGTTGCACAAAAAGTTGACATACCTGTAAGTGACACCAGTAGCAGTGTGGAGAACTTTGTAGCACCACATCCTGTTAAAAAATATCAGAAAAGACAGACTGTTCGAATCAAAGAGTATTCACCAACTGTTGGTGAAACAGAAGAAATCCGTTTGTTGGAAGCTGCATTAGAAAAAAAATTGAAGAACGATGTTTCACCAAGCAAGTCAAATCCAGCGTCAAGAAAGTGTCCCAAAGAAATTAAGCTTGAGCCAGAAAATGTTTCTCAAGCTAAAACATCAGCTGGAAAAAAACAAACAGTAGAAGTAAAACAGGAAGAAATCCCTAAACATACAGCAGATTCACCTTTCTATATGTTCAGGAACAAAAATGCATCAGTAGACAAAGATATTGGTATTTGTTCCGTAAGTTTAAGTCAAGATTCTGTACCCAAATCAAGTGATAAAAGAAAAAATTCCCTTAGAAAAGTTCAGAGTCAGGATTATGTTTCAGAGGTTAAATCCCACCAGACAAGATCTCAAACCTCTGAGCCAATACTGCCTAATGTACGTACACCTCGTAGAGTAACACTCAAGAAAATTGTTGAAAAAGAAAACCAAAAAACTTCAGATGATGCTCACACCACTTCAAACAATTCTGATCAACCTGCTGAACTAGATACACAGGCCAGAGCTTGTAAGAAAGTTGACTCCACCAAGGAGGACTGTGAAACTTCCTGCACACTTGTTGAAGACACCCAATCACCTATGAAATCAATAAAAGAGCATGCCAGGAATCCAGGCCACACCATTGCTGAGACCCCCACCAAAAGTGAGGACAGTGTGTCTCCACCTACAAGATCTCACAGCGCCCGTAAACTTTTTGCTGATGTTGAACGGCCAACTCCTGCCACCTCGGGGGATGTCTTTGGATCGCAAGGATTCACTGCTTCCATGGAGGAGGAAAAAACTGAAAAAAATGCATCAACAAATCACCCAGAAAGTGAGAATCTTTTTCCCAGCACACAAGAAAGTTTTGCCTTACAAATGCCAACGTTAGGTTCAGTGCTGCCACAAGGAACTCCAGCAAGTGATGGCAGCCAGCAGCCTGAGCCTGAAGCAGATCCTCCTGCTGTGCTACACTCAAGTTCAGAGGCTGACTTTCTTCCTTCTCAGCCCACTCTTACTACTGAAAGCCCTAAGAACATAGTCAACAAGAGAAAGATCAAAGTTCCAAAGAAATATACACCATTTACTTACAGAAAAACTCGTCAGAGGCGCAATGCAATGAACAATTCTGATGCATCTCAGGAGGCTGGGAAGAAATTGAATGTTGAGAAGAAAAGAAAATTAACGCAACAAGTAAAGGCTTTAGTTACAGAACAATCCCCTCCTCAGTTAGTAAACAATTCTCAAAATATTTCCAAAAATGGCAGCAAAGTATCTCCTGAAAAAAATGGTGCCTCCCATATGGAATCAAAGTCTGTTCAAGAGGTGACACCAGATGTTAAATCTCCAGTGAATGTAAATGCAAACAGAAGACACAGTGCAACCAAAAGAAGTGGAAGACTTGCTAAAACAATTGAGAGAGAATCAGCTGCAAAAAGACATAGCTCAAGAAAGATAGAGAGCTACAGTGTTGTTGTTGTCAGTGAATCTCCAAGGGAGAATGAGCCAAAATGTGCAATAGAAGTAGAAGAAAGCCCAGATGGTAAAAAACCTAGAACAGAATCCTACCATCTGTCAACAACTACAGAAAAATGTACACAATCAAAACCTGATCCTACAAAGTCAATAAACCTAAATAAAAAGAGAGCAGCTCGACGTCGTCTTGCTACTAGCACAGATGTTGACACGCCTAAAAAAAAAATGAAATTGATGGAAAATGAAGCTTCCAGTGGGGATGAAGATGACCAACCTCTGTCACTTTTGCAAAAAAATATGTCACAAGAAAAAGAAAACGCAAGTCACATCAATAAAAATGTTAGCACCTTGGAACTGCCTGTTGAAAGTGTTGCTGGTGACCTTGTTGGAGATAGTCATGTAATCACTCTGGACAGTCCTCTGCTAACAGACAATGTTATAGACTTAGATATTGACAGCAACGACACTTTTAATGACAGTAAGTCTCAAATAGTTGATAAGGCTTTGAATACTGCGCTGTCCCAGATATCAGCATCAGTACAGCATGCTCTAGCAGCAAGTGACATTATTTTTAGCACAGATTCATCAGCAACCTCAACTCATCAGCTCCTAGTGCCTGTGCCAGATACCAGAATAGATGCCACCAAAGACCTGGCCACTACCAACACAGCAAGTGCTTCAGGTTCAGAACTTGCACAGAGCAATCACAATGATCATATATTTTACCATTTGAACAAGCCACTACCAGCAGAAAGATGCCTAAGCTTTAATGACAATATAGTGATTGACATTGATTCTGAAACTGATTGTACAGGGCAGTCTTTGCCTCATATAGCATCACAATCTACTAATGGTTTAAATATTGCTCCTGTTGACTCCAGTCAAGCCACTGAAGTGATAGAAATAGACATGGAAGATGACAAAGAAAATAATGAATCTGCATTGGAAAACACAGCTTGTGATGGTTTAACACGCAATGTAGATAACGAAGATTGCTTTGATAAAGAAGGTATAAGACCATCTGATGATGTCTTCCTAGAACCAAGCCAACTAAAACCAGCAGCGGCACTGCAAAATGTGGAGAATTTGACAGAAATGGATGTAGGTGTTCAGACGACCCCTGAAAGGTTGCTGGAAGAAAAATGTTTGTCTAGTGATGAGGAAAAGGAGGACGAGCATGTCCTTCATGACTGGTCTCCGTCCAAGTCTCCAAGCTGTAGCATACTGAAAAAGGCCACAGAAACTCCCCCATCTGGACAAGTGAGAATTATTTTTTTTACCTGGTTCTAGAAACTGGTTCTTTATTGTAAAAAAAAGTAAATTAAAGAAAGTTAAATAGAGATTGATTGTGCATGAAAAGATGTTTAGTGTAATTGTATATCGTCCTTCCATCCAGAACCGCAGGGTGTCATTTGCTGAGCCAGTTGTAAGTGGGGAAAGTCCTATCAGAGTCAAATACCACAGTGAGGCTCTACCCACTTCTCCTCTTATAGTGTCCAGGGATTTAGCTGGGAAAAAACCTCATCTCTGTGTCAAGGTACCTTCAATGACATTCAATAGCAATTTCTAATCATGTTCATAAGTATACTTTTAGTTTTATTTTACACTGTTGCGTCATAAAACTGATCTAACAAGTAAGTGTTAACACATGGAAAATTTTCATTTATTGTTTTAGAAACTTCATTATTTTGCAATTAGTAAGTAGTCAATTATTCCAAGTTTTTAAAAATTACTTTCAGTCTTTGCGAAGAGTTTCTGGTTACAGGAGAAAACTCGACCCAACACTTAAAAAGGTATGTGAATTTTTAAATTTTATTTTTTAAAAAGTCTCCTTTTGGAAAGTAGCTTAATATACTTTGATGTATTTGATAGGATTCAATGCTAAACTTGTCAACTAAAAAGTCCACTGGTCCAGTGGTTCACCAGCTTTCACCAGGCAGCTACAAACCTACCCAGGAGTCTCAGTTGGACAGCACTCATCCAATTTTCCCTGATTTGATAGGCTGTGTGAAGCCTCTGGACGACATTCTTCCACAGCTCACTTCCTCATTATGGTAACATCTTCTATACTATTTTAATCTTACCACATAATCTTATTTTATGGTAGCAACAAATCTTATTTTATGGTAGCAACAAATCTTATTTTATGGTAGCAGCTAATCTTAGTTTGTGGTACCATCTAATTTTGTGATACCGTCTAATCTTATTTTATGGTAGCACCAAATTTGCTATTTAAATTAAATTTTCCAGATCCTTATTTTCTTTGTATCATTTATATCATATATTCTACTGCTACAAAATGTAAGTATGGCAGTTTATTTTTATCTTCAGGTACAGAGGCTTGTGCCAGCTGATGAAAGGTCGTAACCTCAATACTATAGGAGACTTGAGTAGCTTGACTGAGGTGCAGATCAATCAATTACCAATCCGACATCCAAAGGTGCTAACAGTCAGGTCAACCTTAGCAGCGTATGTATCCCAGCATGGTCTACTTAAAAGCAATTCTACTGCAGAGTGCAACCTACAGCCCAAAGATAACAGTACAGGTAAGTTATTATAAACTCTAGAATGCTACAATATATTCTGTTAGAAAATTACTATGTAACATATTTTTGACCTATGAATACATCCGAGGAACTACCAACAATTTCACCTAGACTAAAAGACTATTTTTACTAGCATTTTCTTGGCTCTCCTTTAAATATGATTACTGTATACAAAACCCTTTTGTGTCGGGGCTACTTAGTTGTATGGTTTTTCCTTTAAATTTACTATTTTGACATCCAGGTTATGATATAAACAGATTACAACTAACCTAAAAATCAAAATTGTCGCCGTAATTTTATTTCCCCCCACATATTTTTCACAAATTAAATCTTACATCGCGGAAGTAGGATTAATGTGCAAATTTTTGTTTTAGAAAAAATGGATGACACTGAACCCAATGTTGAGACTGATCAAGACACACAGCAACCAATAGAAGGTGAGCCATTTACTAGACTAGTTGTTGCTGCATTTTTTTTAACCTACTGTAATTGATGTACTACTGGGTTACACTACTGCTATTTCTTGTGTTACTTTGTACTACTACAACGGCTTTGTACTACTAAAACAACTGCTTTGTACTACTACAACAACTGCTTTATACTACTACAACTGCTTTGTACTACAACTACTTAGTACTACTACAACTACTTAGTACTACTACAACTACTTAGTACTACTACAACTACTTAGTACTACTACAACTACTTTGTACTACTACTACTACAACTACTTTGTACTACTACTACTACAACTACTTAGTACTACTACTACAACTACTTAGTACTACTACTACAACTACTTAGTACTACTACTACAACTACTTTGTACTACTACTACAACTACTTTGTACTACTACTACTACAACTACTTAGTACTACTACTACTACAACTACTTAGTACTACTACTACAACTACTTAGTACTACTGAACTACTACTACAACTACTTTGTACTACTGAACTACTACTACAACTGCCACTTGTATCTTGACACCGGTACAGAAGACTCCAGCAAGAGCCTCCCTGCTCAAGCATGTCCTGTGGACACAAGTGATCCACTAGCACTGACTACCTTAATGTTACTTGACCCAGACAGCCAGTCCTCAAGTTTAAAGAGATCCAGTACAGCCCAACTCCTAGAGCTACTGACTCAAGTACAAACATTGTCTAGTCATGTCATCAATGAAATTAAAAGCAGACAAACACATTGAAGAATGTTAACTGACACCTGTTTGGTCAGGTATTTGTAGACCATATTAAGCTCTGAGTTCACTGAATCAAATGCTGCTTGTACACTACTGAGTGTTACTCCTTGGATTTGATTGGCAGGATTATGGGTCATTATTAAACTATTGCCTTTTTAAAAAAAAAATTAGAGCAAAAATGTTAATTAAAAAAAAAGGTCACTTCCACAAACTTCACACTCACCATTTTGAGTTGTTGTCATGTTTGGCAGTTTAAAAAGAACTTGTCTGTACTTTATGTCACTCAGTACTGTACGTTTTTTTTAAATGAGACAACCAGAAATGAAAGTTAATAAAATTTAGGCTTAAAAGATGCAAAGACTCGAAACAAAACTTTTCTGGATATTGCTTGAGATAGTTAAAGTTAAAAGTCCTGCAAAGCTTTTGGTCCTATTTAAGTGATTCTTGCCAAACAAATAAGGATTACTAGTACTTTGAGTCTTGGCTTAACAGCTCTTAGTGACCAATTACAAAAAAGATGCAATTTAATGTGGACAGTTGCCTTTTGTTTTGTTTTTGTAAAGTTAAAATTTGTGAAAAAAAAACTTCTGAAAAGAAAAATAGTTACTAGAGTTCAAAATGTAATTGTTAATTAAAAAAAAATGTAATTGTTAATTTTTAAACCTTTTATGCCATATAAGGTAATTTATTTTTATAGTACAAGAGTGTTTGTATATCTTAGCAACATTCTAAATTTTGATTTGTAAATGTTTTTAAATATTTTTAAATGAAATAAAAAGTTTATGTATTTTGTTATTTTTAAACCACTCTCACCCATCAAGTATAATTGTATTTTTTATATTCATTTCCACTCAATAGAAATGTTGTATTCTTTCATCTCTTCTATCAAAAATACAAACCATTTTTATTTTCTCTTTGTAACTCAGCTAATCAATACTCAAATGTCTTAATTTTTGGTACCATCAGCTTGAAATATGTGTAGTTTTTTTTTTAGTTTTCAGCTTTAGATATCGATTATGAATTTCAAATGACAGATGGTAAGGAATGGTGCCTTGTCCATCTGCCAGGTTTTACGTGAATTCACATTTTCCAATAAGTCTAATTGTGAGGTCAAAGGTTTCTCATTGACCTGACTTGTTATTGGCCATGCATTTGTTAATATTATGAATAAATTTTTAAACGTTTAGTTTATTTTCTTTTTGTGATTGCTAGCCCCAACTTTGATTCTGATATAATTCATTAAAAAAATTCTCTTAAAAATTTCCCAACATTAGTTTGAAGTTCAACAATTTAAGTAGGTTTGAGTAGAAGAATCTGTTTTTAACCCCCTCCCACAGAACAGAAGGGTTTTAACCTCCTCCCACAGAACAGAAGGGTTTTAACCTCCTCCCACAGAACAGAAGGGTTTTTAACCCCCTCCCACAGAACAAAAGGATGTTTTAACGTCCCCCAGAACAATAGTTTTACCCCCCCCCCCCAGCAGTTTAGGGTAAAGTAAACTTTCTCAATCCTGAAGTGATTTTAACCCACACAAACGGCTGGGCTTATTAACATAAATACTGTGTTGATCGTGAATGGGGGTGGGGGGGGGGGGGATATTATAATACAGAAAACTTAACATGTACTTCTCTGATTAATGAACACAACTTTTTTTAAACTGGTTTCCATACCCTGCTTTTGAATTCACCCAAAATGATACATTTTCTAATTATTAAACTATTATCTTACAAATAGCATTTGTACCAAAATATTATGGCGTAAAATACATGACGTCAACAAAATAATTGTCGAAAATTTAAAGTAGGTGTACATTGTACAGGCAATGTAGTATACAAGACATTTTTAATTGCATGATTAGAAAGCGGCTAATTCTATACTGTATGTTCCCTATTCAGTCATTCTGTTTGGCCTATGGGGAGAAGACAATAGCTATTGTCTTTAAGGGACAATAGCCATTCTTCCCCCCCCCCCCCCCCCGTGTGAACATTCGGCCTGTCTTATAAGCGAACGCACAATCAATGCACCTGTACTGTCATTTAATCTGTATGCTTACAGCCATCTAGGTCTTGTAGAGGCCGGCAGTGGCGTAGGCAGGATTTTCTTGGTGTGAGGGGTAACTGAATTTATTAGATATAGGCCTATATAGATTATAATTAAATATAACATATATATATATATAAAATGAACTATATATATATATATATATATTCCCCCTACACAAACCAACGTTACACGATTCCCATACACAATCCAACGTTGTTACACGATTCTCCCAACACAATCCAACGTTACACGATTCCCCCTACACAATCCAACGTTACACGATTCCCCCTACACAATCCAACGTTACACGATTCCCCCTACACAATCCAACGTTACACGATTCCCCCTACACAATCCAACGTTACACGATTCCCCCTACACAATCCAACGTTACACGATTCTCCCTACACAATCCAACGTTACACGATTCCCCCTACACAATCCAACGTTACACGATTCTCCCCCTACACAATCCAACGTTACACGATTCTCCCCCTACACAATCCAACGTTACACGATTCTCCCTACACAATCCAACGTTACACGATTCTCCCCCTACACAATCCAACGTTACACGATTCCCCCTACACAATCCAACGTTACACGATTCTCCCTACACAATCCAACGTTACACGATTCCCCCTACACAATCCAACGTTACACGATTCTCCCCCTACACAATCCAACGTTACACGATTCTCCCCCTACACAATCCAACGTTACACGATTCTCCCTACACAATCCAACGTTACACGATTCTCCCCCTACACAATCCAACGTTACACGATTCCCCCTACACAATCCAACGTTACACGATTCCCCCTACACAATCCAACGTTACACGACTCATCACACGAAACTTAAAAGCAGTGCACAGAGCTTAAAATAGATTTTTAATCTTGGATTGAGGGAGGGTGGGGCGAGTGGTAACAGATGGAAGAACTAAACCTTATTTAAGCTAGGTTCAACGCAAACGTACAAATGGATATTTTTTTACAGAGAGAATAATCACATGTTTTTTTTTTTTTTTTTTTTTTTTTTTTTTTTTTTTACAAACGCTGATCAACACAAAGAATCAAATGACCACAATTCAATCTAAAATATTGGGTTCAACATTTTTTATTTTAAACAATAGAAAAAAGTATGTCACACCACTTTTCTTACCTACGCACCCCCCTCCCCCTTCCCGTCCCCACAAACATTTACATCAAAGATACATGCTATTATTTTAAAAATCAACCACATAAACCAAGCTGTAGGATGAAACTGTCTTAGGGTTTTGTAGTATGAGGTCAATATTTAGGGTTTACTGGGTGGGATCAATAATTTTTTTTTTCGATGGGATCAAGATTTTTTTTTTTGGAGTGGGATCAATATTTGGGGTTTTTTTTTTGGAGTGGGATCAATATTTGGGGTTTTTTTTTTGGAGTGGGATCAATATTTTGGTTTTTTTTTTTTGGAGTGGGATCAATAATTGGGTTTTTTTTTTGGAGTGGGATCAATATTTGGGGTTTATTTTTTTGAGTGGGATCAATATGAGGGTTTCTTGTGCGGGTTCAGTATTTGTAGATGTGTAGGTTGGGATCCGTATTTTGTTTTTATGATTGCCCTTTTATCTTTAAAACCAGCTCTGGGCCATGAGGCTACATGTAATGTTTGGGCCATGAGGCTACATGTAATGTTTGGGCCATGAGGCTACATGTAATGTTTGGGCCATGAGGCTACATTTGTTTGGGCCATGAGGCTACATGTAATGTTTGGGCCATGAGGCTACATGTAATGTTTGGGCCATGAGGCTACATGTAATGTTTGGGCCATGAGGCTACATGTAATGTTTGGGCCATGAGGCTACATGTAATGTTTGGGCCATGAGGCTACATGTAATGTTTGGACCATGAGGCTACATGTAATGTTTGGGCCATGAGGCTACATGTAATGTTTGGGCCATGAGGCTACATGTAATGTTTGGGCCATGAGGCTACATATAATGTTTGGACCATGAGGCTACATTTGTTTGGGCCATGAGGCTACATGTAATGTTTGGGCCATGAGGCTACATGTAATGTTTGGGCCATGAGGCTACATGTAATGTTTGGGCCATGAGGCTACATGTAATGTTTGGACCATGAGGCTACATGTAATGTTTGGGCCATGAGGCTACATGTAATGTTTGGGCCATGAGGCTACATATAATGTTTGGACCATGAGGCTACATTTGTTTGGGCCATGAGGCTACATGTAATGTTTGGGCCATGAGGCTACATGTAATGTTTGGGCCATGAGGCTACATGTAATGTTTGGGCCATGAGGCAACATGTAATGTTTGGACCATGAGGCTACATGTAATGTTTGGGCCATGAGGCTACATTTGTTTGGGCCATGAGGCTACATGTAATGTTTGGACCATGAGGCTACATGTAATGTTTGGGCCATGAGGCTACATGTAATGTTTGGACCATGAGGCTACATGTAATGTTTGGGCCATGAGGCTACATGTAATGTTTGGGCCATGAGGCTACATGTAATGTTTGGGCCATGAGGCTACATGTAATGTTTGGGCCATGAGGCTACATGTAATGTTTGGGCCATGAGGCTACATGTAATGTTTGGGCCATGAGGCTACATGTAATGTTTGGGCCATGAGGCTACATGTAATGTTTGGACCATGAGGCTACATGTAATGTTTGGGCCATGAGGCTACATGTAATGTTTGGGCCATGAGGCTACATGTAATGTTTGGGCCATGAGGCTACATGTAATGTTTGGGCCATGAGGCTACATGTAATGTTTGGACCATGAGGCTACATGTAATGTTTGGGCCATGAGGCTACATGTAATGTTTGGGCCATGAGGCTACATGTAATGTTTGGGCCATGAGGCTACATGTAATGTTTGGGCCATGAGGCTACATGTAATGTTTGGGCCATGAGGCTACATGTAATGTTTGGGCCATGAGGCTACATGCAATGTTTGGGCCATGAGGCTACATGTAATGTTTGGGCCATGAGGCTACATGTAATGTTTGGGCCATGAGGCTACATGTAATGTTTGGACCATGAGGCTACATGTAATGTTTGGGCCATGAGGCTACATGTAATGTTTGGGCCATGAGGCTACATGTAATGTTTGGGCCATGAGGCTACATGTAATGTTTGGGCCATGAGGCTACATGTAATGTTTGGGCCATGAGGCTACATGTAATGTTTGGGCCATGAGGCTACATGCAATGTTTGGGCCATGAGGCTACATGTAATGTTTGGACCATGAGGCTACATGTAATGTTTGGGCCATGAGGCTACATGTAATGTTTGGGCCATGAGGCTACTGTTAGGGCCATGAGGCTACATGCAATGTTAGGACCATGAGGCTACATGTAATGTTTGGACCATGAGGCTACATGTAATGTTAGGGCCATGAGGCTACATTTGTTTGGGCCATGAGGCTACATGTAATGTTTGGGCCATGAGGCTACATGCAATGTTAGGACCATGAGGCTACATGTAATGTTTGGGCCATAAGGCTATATGTAATGTTTGGGCCATGAGGCTACATGTAATGTTTGGGCCATGAGGCTACATTTGTTTGGGCCATGAGGCTACATGTAATGTTTGGGCCATGAGGCTACATATAATGTTTGGGCCATGAGGCTACATTTGTTTGGGCCATGAGGCTACATGTAATGTTAGGACCATGAGGCTACATGTAATGTTTGGACCATGAGGCTACATGTAATGTTTGGGCCATGAGGCTACATGTAATGTTTGGGCCATGAGGCTACATTTGTTTGGGCCATGAGGCTACATGTAATGTTTGGACCATGAGGCTACATGTAATGTTTGGGCCATAAGGCTATATGTAATGTTAGGGCCATGAGGCTACATTTGTTTGGGCCATGAGGCTACATGTAATGTTTGGGCCATGAGGCTACATGTAATGTTTGGGCCATGTAATATTTTGTCCCTGTTATAACTAGATCTTGAAGATACTGCTGGGTTCGATGTGTTACATTAGAAAGTGCTTATTGGGTCTAACGATGGACGAAATAAGCAAGTAGCTTTTCCACCCTTGTATATTAATTTTTCTAAAACGCATAATTAAATTACTGTTAGTCAGTGTTAGTCTAACATTAAAATAATATGGTTTTTATCATAATTTTCTCAAAACTTTTCAGGAATCTTTTGTCGCTCGCGTTATGTAAGCTTTTTTTTTAATTAAAAAAAAACAAAAAAAATACCTCATGATTTTCTTTTTACATTAGAGTATGCAGTGTTTATTTCCCCGAAAGCCTGTTAGATGGAATGAGAGGGTTGCGTATTTCCTCTACCGTTAGACGCCATAAGCACTATCCTTACATTAAAAACAAAGTGACAATTATAGAATATTCTAGTCTTGTCACAAAGGACACTTGGCATCAACTCAATGCAAAGCAACAATAACAGTTTGTTAAGTTCGGGTATACATTATAACAATAAAAAACAAAAGCAACACAAGATGTAAAAACGCTATGGTTAAACACTAGCTCAAGTTAATCCGTTTACTTTTGAATCTGTTCCTTCTTCCATCATATTATCAGTTTCCGACATGTCCACAACTAAAATTGTAGGAATTTCAAAAGTACGCCGGGTTTGGTTATTCCTAGCTTCAGACATGCGCATCTTCCTCCTCCTGCGCCAATAGTATGCGCCGTAAAAGATACACATACAGCCAAAAAACACACCAGCTATAATAAAAGCAACTTTGATCCTATGGTTCGTGTCAAACGATGTTTTGGTCATGACCCGGATGTGAACAGTTTTGAGAGCGACGTCTTGGTCGTTACGCCGCGTGCGACACGTGTACTCGCCAGACACCGACTCATCCGGTTCGTGGAACACTAGCGTCTTCTGGCTGGTCAGTTCCACCCAACTTTTGCTAGCAGCCGAGGTGGCAGATTTGGCAGATGGGATGAGTTGTACGTCCTTAGGGGGCGTCCAATCATGGTCCAACTTCCCGTCCGCTACTAACGCCGTTGTGTTTCCTGGAACGCTGCAGTTGATTACGTTGCCCTCATTTACATCGTCTTTATAAAGAATAACGCTTGTTTTAACGACGATCATCTTCAAACTGCCGCCGTCTGCTGCTGATGTGAGTACAGGTGAAACTAGCGGGACCAGCGAGATAGTGAGGGCCAACAAGAGCAGCGCCCATTGTCTCAGGATACTCCCACAGTTGACCCGGGCTATGGTCTTCAAGTGTTGCATCGTTCGTCTAACTGATCCAAGTCATTGGCTTTATACAGAATTTTTAGTTCGTCCAACTGATCCAAGTCATTGGCTTTATACAGAATTTTTAGTTCGTCCAACTGATCCAAGTCATTGGCTTTATACAGAATTTTTAGTTCGTCCAACTGATCCAAGTCATTAGCTTTATACAGAATTTTTAGTTCGTCCAACTGATCCAAATCATTGGCTTAATACAGAATCACATAACTTTAAGCTTGGCGTAATAGGCACATTCATCTGTAAGCAAACAAAACAAGTTAGTAAATAATTTATAATGGTACGCCATTACATGCATTCATTCAGACGATATGTTCGTACTAGTAAACACGATTTCCCCTACACGTATATAATATATGGGAAATTGTCACAAGATTTTCCAATTGAAGCACACACATTATATATATATATATATATATATATATATATATATACGATGATATTGTAATGACAATAATGTACTTACAACTTCACCGACACGATAACAAAAGAAAAAAGGAGATGATTACATTTATTCTAGTGTAGGAAGCACAGGTCGAGATTTCCATGCCATTTTTGCCCATCTCTATAAAATTAAAACCGAGTTCTGACCCAGTAATTCTGTTGTGATATGCCTGGGGCGTCTAAACAATGGAGCAACAAACTACAGCACTAGCATAAACAAGCCACAGCTGAAGGCTGAATGGCTAGGCGAGATCATGAGGCTTGTCTAGCCTGCAGGTAGTGCTAAGTTCGCTCTCAAATGCTAATGGGTTAAACACAGTGATAAAACTGACAGCAATGTCACTCAGAATAGTGGCGAGTTGAACAACTACATTACAGGCTAGTGGCGAGTTGAACAACTACATTACAGGCTAGTGGCGAGTTGAACAACTACATTACAGGCTAGTGGCGAGTTGAACAACTTCATTACAGACTAGTAGCGAGTTGAACAACTTCATTACAGACTAGTAGCGAGTTGAACAACTTCATTACAGACTAGTAGCGAGTTGAACAACTTCATTACAGACTAGTAGCGAGTTGAACAACTTCATTACAGACTAGTAGCGAGTTGAACAACTTCATTACAGACTAGTAGCGAGTTGAACAACTTCATTACAGACTAGTAGCGAGTTGAACAACTTCATTACAGACTAGTAGCGAGTTGAACAACTTCATTACAGACTAGTAGCGAGTTGAACAACTTCATTACAGACTAGTAGCGAGTTGAACAACTTCATTACAGACTAGTAGCGAGTTGAACAACTTCATTACAGACTAGTAGCGAGTTGAACAACTTCATTACAGACTAGTGGCGAGTTGAACAACTTCATTACAGACTAGTGGCAAAGTAAAAAACTTCATTACAGACTAGTGGCAAAGTAAAAAAACTACATTACAGGCTAGTGGCAAAGTAAAAAAAAAATGCCACAGCGTATCCATGGCAGCCTGACCCTGACGTATTCCATTAAATCATTCAAACTGACACCAAAGTGTGCCCGTTTGAAAATGATGACAGCAAGCTAGCCCAAGGTTGCCAGTTTTTAAAAATTGATTGATGAACTTGTAACAATTGGGTTAATAATGAACTTGTAACAATTGGGTTTGTAATGAACTTGTAACAATTGGGCTTGTGATGAACTTGTAACAATTGGGTTTGTAATGAACTTGTAACAATTGGGTTTGTCATGAACTTGTAACAATTGGGTTAATAATGAACTTGTAACAATTGGGTTTGTCATGAACTTGTAACAATTGGGTTTATAATGAACTTGTAACAATTGGGTTTATGATGAACTTGTAACAATTGGGTTTGTGATGAACTTGTAACAATTGGGTTTATGATGAACTTGTAACAATTGGGTTTATAATGAACTTGTAACAATTGGGTTTCTGATGAACTTGTAACAATTGGGTTTATAATGAACTTGTAACAATTGGGTTTATGATGAACTTGTAACAATTGGGTTTATGATGAACTTGTAACAATTGGGTTTATGATGAACTTGTAACAATTGGGTTTATAATGAACTTGTAACAATTGGGTTTGTGATGAACTTGTAACAATTGGGTTTATAATGAACTTGTAACAATTGGGTTTATAATGAACTTGTAACAATTTGTAAAATAAAACAATTCAAGTACAAACTAGGCCTGTTTCTACTCCCGGCGAAACGGTCTCATTGAATAGAACCCCTGCCAGAGTTTCTTCCAGGCATCTCTTCGCGTGGGTTCAGCCCCCTCCCGTCCCCCCCCCCCGGAAATTTTAGTCCGCCCCCCCCCCCCCCCCCCCCCCGAAAATTTGTAGAGCCCCCCCCCCCCCCGGAGAAAAAAGTATGGAACAAACACTGAACACACCATCAATACTCTTTAGAATTAGCTTGGTCAACAACCGTAAACAATACAACGCATGTAGCTCTTGTTCGGCAGGCCTTATTTTTATTATTATTTTATCTAGTATAAGAAATCAAATTTTTTAAAATGTAAAGATCGTCTAGCTAGGACTTCCATCAAATGTGTCGGTTGTGGGCTGTTGTGGGCTGTTGTGGGCTGCTGTGGGCTGTTGTGGGCTGTTCCAACTCAGTGTGTGGGGAGGGGGGGGGGGTCCAGGTTGTGGGCTGTTCCAACTCAGTGTGTGGGGAGAGGGGTCCACGCTGTACAGTTAGCTGCACTATGCTTGTAGCTTATCAAAACAAAACTTTGTTTATCCTGTAAACTTCATGTAAATCATACATTTGAACTTATGTGCTCGGTTTTAAGAAATAGATCTTCACGGGGAAAAAAAAAAATATCACAATTTTAAAATTAGAGGCACTTTGCTGTTAATAGCTCGATTTGCTTATGAATTGCTGTTGGGTCATAAACAAGATTTTATTCAGGTAGTGGGGGTAAGAAATGCGTGTGGTTGGTGGGATGGTGGGTTGGTGGGATGATGGGTTGGTGGGTTGGTGGGATGATGGGTTGGTGGGTTGGTGGGATGATGGGTTGGTGGGATGATGGGTTGGTGGGTTGGTGGGATGATGGGTTGGTGGGTTGGTGGGATGGTGGGTTGGTGGGATGGTGGGTTGGTGGGATGATGGGTTGGTGGGTTGGTGGGATGGTGGGTTGGTGGGATGATGGGTTGGTGGGTTGGTGGGATGATGGGTTGGTGGGTTGGTGGGATGATGGGTTGGTGGGTTGGTGGGATGGTGGTTACGTCTAGTCTATGAGTGGTCATACAATTGCCTGGAGCAAATATGTCGGTTCAGCAGCTTAGAACACACAATAAGAAACATGTTTCCTAGGGAAATTGACAGCATAGTTTCCTGGTCTTCAATAATGAAAGAATAAATCTCTTTGGTAGACATGGTCTAATCTCTTTGTTAAATATATCACATCCCCACCTAGACCATATTCCCTACCTTAATAGATTTGTAGTGAAATAAAGTAGCTTACCTTTTTTTCCTTCCCATTAGCTCAACTGTACGGCCTACATGAACGTGATATCACATGACGATACACTGGGAAAAAAAGATAAAGAGACAGTTAGAAACGGTGATATCACTCGACTAGAAACTAAGAAAGATAAAGACAAATTAGTAAAATGATCTTTGACCTCCATTTATTAAAATCTCATAGCGGTCCAAATCATCCAATGATTTAGTGGATGTTGTAAACAGTTCGACAGGTGTTCGTGCATGCTATAAACAGCTAGATAGGTCTCAATTCAGAGTTTAAGACAACTTCCGTTTCGTTTGTATATACACTCCAATAAAAAAGCTCCCTAATAAAACTTCCAATAAATAAAACCGCCCGTAAAAACCTCCCATAAATAAAAACCTAAAATAAAAACCTCCCAAAAAAAAAAACCCTCCCTAAAACTCAGATCAAACATTCCATAAATAAAAACTTCCATAAAAAATCTCCCTAAAAAATAAAGCTTCACATAAATAAAACCACCCATAAAAATCTCCCTATAAATCTCCCTAAAAACCGCCCATAAATAAACCTCCCGTAAATAAAACCTCCCATAAACAAACCTGACAGATTATTTAAATGAGGAGGTGTGGCCTGCACGAATAATATTGCACACCTAATTAATGCATAGTGTCTTGTACATGGATTAAAAGTCGAGTTTTTTCCTTGGCTTGTGTAGGGGACATTTGACCTAAGAGCTAAATGCAGCCTTTGTGTAGGGAACAGTTGACCTAAGAGATAAATGCAGCATTTTTGTAGGGGACAGTTGACTTAAGAGCTAAATGCAGCATTTGTGTAGGGGACAGTTGACCTAAGAGCTAAATGCAGCATTTGTGTAGGGAACAGTTGACCTAAGAGCTAAATGCAGCATTTTTGTAGGGAACAGTTGACCTAAGAGCTAAATGCAGCATTTGTGTAGGGGACAGTTGACTTAAGAGCTAAATGCAGCATTTGTGTAGGGGACAGTTGACCTAAGAGCTAAATACAGCATTTGTGTATGGGACAGTTGACCTAAGAGCTTAATGCAGCCTTTTTGTAGGGGACAGTTGACATAAGAGCTTAATTGCAGCCTTGTCTTATTTGGGGAGCTTGCATGAAGATTGTGGATAGAAGAGTTGAGTAACTATCTTTTAATGGACGGATATCTTATTCACAATTTGATAACATCACAAATATTGATCAAATAAATTAATGAAATTACAGATAGTTAACAATACAGATTGATAAAATATCAATTCTGATACAACATACGAGTAATTGCGTTTTTTACTGAACAAGATGATAGGATCTAATGCGTTAGCAGCCGTTAGCTCAACACTCTGGTGGCGTGGGTATGGAACCTAAGCAGTCGTTTTTGTTTGTTTTAATGTTCCCATCCAAAAAGTGGACAGAAGGAAATCTCAAAGAAAATGGCTCTAAATCATTGCTATTTTTTTGACGTTTGGTTTAATAATTTATTCATTTATTATTGATATGAGCTTCGCGATCGGAAGAAACCGCCTCAGGCGGATCACAGGTTTTGTTTTGAAAGTTGTTTCCCAATTTAAAAAAAATACAAATGGGGTGCATCAATGCGACACATACACGTACGGGGACGTGCTACCGACATCCGCGCACAGCGCAGCGCTCGCTAGGATGTATATACTAGCTGTACCGGGCAGGATTTCAAGTGAAAAAAGCAACATTTCCATGGTAAATTGTTAGATAATTTCTTCTATATATTTTCTTTTTTTGCCTCAGTGTCACCGCCCCTTTAAACTCTGGTGACACCCGGCGCGGTCCGTATTCCCAGCCCCCGCGACGCCTCTGCATAACATTAACATGTTGTATGGTCTTACAACTCTCTTAAAACATGGATGGGGTTTCATACCTTACACTGTAACACGTTGTTACCCATCCCCGCAACTAAAAAGGAAGCTATTTACTGTAAGATACATTATGGGTGTAATCCATCCAGTTGCATAGGATTAAAAGAAATAGTTCTCTCATTATAAAATATGTGCGGATTTAACCCCGCCACAGTACCAAATATGTTAACGAAATATGTTATTGTTAAGAAATTAATAATGGTAAGCCACTGGTAACATACACTTGCGAATAAAATGTGAACCTTAAAATGTATGTAAATCAGAATTGACATAATATGCGGATAAATAATTCAGGTCATGTCTAATACTGACATGGTATGTGGAGAAATCATTCAGGCAATAATTAATAGTGACATGGTATGTGGAGAAATCATTCAGGTCATGTTTAATACTGACATGGTAAGAGAAAACATTATTCAGGTCATGCCTTGTTGTTTCTCGAATTGTCTCGTATCTAGCCGCTAGCTATTTCCAGCTACACGGAAAAGGTGTGTCGTTCGTGTGTCTGTGAGTAAGTAAATGCACGTGAGATCTGCTTGTAAAAAGGTAGGGTCACGTGACGTTAGACCTCGCGGGCAAAGCTGAAATAAGGGGAGATAAGGGGAGAGTTTTTATATTTAGTTCATGTGCTTTTTGTTCATGTTTACGTTGTTGATGTGCTGACTAGCTGAAGCTATGTTAATATATATATATATATATATATATATATATATATATATATATATATATATATATATATGTGTGTGTGTGTGTGTGTGTATGCCTCTTTATATACTTATATAATGTAACTAACATAGATTTATATTTGTGTGTATATGGTGTATATTATACATTTATAGATACACACACACACACATATATATATATATATATATATATATATATATATATATATATATATATATATATATATATATATATATATATATATATATATATATTTGTATATATGTGTTTAAAACGTACCTAGTTCTCAGCAAGAAGCGGCGATATAGTAGTCTACAAATCAATTTACACAACACATTTACAATTGACCGACACAATCAGAAATAAATAACGTATCAGATATGTCTGATATTGAATCCATTTTTTTACTCCTACGCCCCCCCCCTCCTCCATCCCCATAACTCTCCTAAAATGAATATCTTACGTTCTAAGAACTACGCGAAAATTGTTCCAACGGTATTTATTTTAAAAAGCATAACACCACAAACTTGAATAAACCACATCCACAAACCACATGGGACATTTTCACCTTCACCAAATGAAAAAAAAAACAAAAAAAAAAACAACCCAAACTCACAACTAGGTCAAAGTTCGGACGATTCTCGCCGTCTTCTGTTTGAAAGTTAGTTTTATTTTCGGCAATCTACTTCAGGGATTATAGGATTTTTTTAATTGCTCAAATACACTACTTACTAGACTCTTTCCGTCAAATATTAAAAATTATTTTTGTATGACAGTAATTGTTTCAATCGGTTAATTATTTTTGTCTGACATAAAATTGATTAATTGAAGCGATTCATAATTTCGAGTGACACTGAAACTGATTAATTCATGATACCAAACTTCAAAATTAGCCTCATTGATAATTAATTACTGACGGACAATACATTACTTCAATTAGTTAGTAACTGAAGATATATTTAATAAGACTTATTGCACAAAAACACTAGTAAAATAATGCTTATAGTAATTGTGGCATTTAAAAAAATTACATAGGCCGTTTTTTTTTAAAAATAAATAACAAAACAAACTTCTATAAATTGTAACCTGATTGAATGGATTTTTCTAATATTTTGCAATAAAGTGTGATATCGGGCTATATAAATATAGAAGTATGTGACGATGATTTGGATCAGTTACATTTTTGGGAATATATTTCAATAGAGAAATCCGAAATTATTAAGCACTAATTATTACAAGATGATATACTCCATTCCAGAGGCATAGCGGGGGGGGGGGTGCGGACAAAACCGGGTGACACCAAGCCAAAGCAAAATACTTAGGGGGGGGGTGCAAATCGAAAATTTAAGGGGAGGGGGGTGCAAATCAAAAATTGAAAGGTTGTCCCCGGAAAGGGTTGCTACGCCTCTGAAGTGCCGCACCAGTCGACACCCGACCTCGTTACGCCACTACTCCACTCAACTGAACCCTGCCTTGTACTGCAATCCCCTGAACCCCTTGCACTATACTACACCCACTACACTCTCCTGAAACTGCTCCACTCCCGTGAACCCTCTGCACTATACTGCACACCCGTAAACCCACTGCACTATACTGCACTCCTGTAAACTCCCTGCACTTTACTGCACTCCTCTGTACCCCTGTACTGTATTGCACTATACTGCACTAAATATTTCCCATCTAACTTTCCTTCATCCCTGGCATTAGCACCATCCTTAATATTAAGTTACAATTAGGGATTTGAACCTCGACCACTGCGAAGAACTAGATCTAGCAAGCCAACACCCAGTCAACTCTGCTATCCCGCTACATGCCGATTATTAAAAATTTATCTTTATGAGATACTATATTGGACGCAGAAACATTTTGCCTTTTTTACAGCAGATACTTATTGAGTGAAACGCAAAAATATATGTATTAGAACTAAATATGTATGATTTAAAGCATAATATAAGAGGTAATTACTTTCTCCCCAAATTTATAGCAGTTTAAAATTTAGTTATTTAGTTGATAGGCCATTTCATTCCATAAACAAGACAACATGTACTGTTTGGCTTTAAGTAAACATTGACATTCACATATCTGTTCATTTTATCCTCTGTCCCAAAGACTCTTACGTTTCCTGCTAACTACAATCGTTTAGAACAATCTACATATTCATTATGTAAAAAAAGGTAGGGTAATATATCATTTGGTCAGGTAAAATACAATATTAAATAAATTACTTTTATCTCCACACAGGTCTTAATGTACGAACTTTTTATTCAATCATACTGCCAGTATCAGGACATGTGAAGATGATGTATTCCACTAGAGTGTAGAGATGATGTGTTCTACTAGAGTGTAGAGATGATGTGTTCTACTAGAGTTTAGTGAGTGTAGTGTTAATGTGTTCCATTAGAGTATAGTGATGATGTTTTCTACTGGAGTGTAGTGATGATGTGTTCTACTAGAGTGTAGTGATAATGTGTTTTACTAGAGTGTAGTGATGATGTGTTCTATTATAGTGTAGAGATGATGTGTTCTACTAGAGTGTATGGTTAATGTGTTCCACTAGAGTGTAGAGATGATGTGTTCTATTGGAGTGTAGAGATGATGTGTTGTGTAGTGTTAATGTGTCCCTCTAGAGTGTAGTGAGTGTAGTGATGATGTGTTCCACTAGAGTGTAGTGATGATGTGTTCCACTAGAGTGTAGAGATGATGTGTTCTACTAGAGTGTAGTGATGTTGTGTTCTATTAGAGTGTAGAGATGATGTGTTCTAATAGAGTGTAGTGATATATGTTCCACTAGACTGTAGAGATGATGTGTTCCATTAGAGCGTAAAGATGATGTGTTCTACTGGAGTGTAGAGATGATGTGTTCTACTATGTCATGATAATGTTTTCTGACAAAGAAATATTTAAGTTGAATGATAGAATCACCACCCTCCTAAACATTACTTACCAGTCTCTTAATAAATCCTAAACTGCTCTCTTAAACAATCCTTTACAATTTTCCTAAACAATCCTTTACAACTGTTCTGAACAATCCTTTACCATTTTCCTAAACAATCATTTACCACTTTCCTAAACAATCCTTTACCACTCCCCTAAACATTCCTTTACCACTCTCCTAAAAAATCCTTCACCATTCTCCAAAACAATCCTTTACAAATCTCTTAAAAAGAACTTAACCATTCTTCTTAACAATCCTTTACCACTCTCCTAAACAATCCTTTACCACTCTTCTAAACAATCTGTTAGAACTGTTCTTCTAATGAAAAATTTATAGTTGAGTGAAGCATTAAACTATGTGTCAAATTATGAATCCATTTAATGAGTTTGAGTTGGGGAACTTGAAAGGGAGAAAAATTGCAATCTTTTTCATTCAACAGTCAATTTACTTGACTTCCTGTTTAGACATAGTGAGTAAATCCACTTGACTTTTGGATAACTCTTACTAAATAAAATCTGACAACAAAATATAAGTGCACATTTAGTCTTCAAGGTTATCATTTAGTAACCATTTCAAGGTTATCAGACAGAACCATTTGAAACCAGTTCATTAGATGGTTATTTCAGGGTAATCATAGAGTGCAAGGTTTCTCCCCTACAACATTATTTTACTATAAACATAATCTTAATACAAATCATCATTCCATCCGGCTATATAAATAAAATAGAAAGTTATTTAATGGGTAAAACAAATGCAAAATTTATATTTGGTGTAATATAGATCACATATAATTTTAAAAATAATTAAATAAAGAAGAAAATCTTAGCTTTCTTTAAATTTAACTAATTATTGACAAAAATAATGTGACAAAATATTTTTGTGACTAGTTGGCATTTTAATAACATTTTAAAATGACTAGCAGTAAATAAAAGATCAAACATCTGATATTCTATTTAAAATTTTAGTTTAAAAATTATCTTAGATCATTACTCAAAATTACTCTTAGTATTTTATTCTTTAAAATATATTAATCAATTATTAAAATTAAGAATTAAAGTAACTGTAATGACTCAAAGATAATTCTTGCCTTTACAGAAGCAGATAAACAACTGTTCATCTATATAACCAAGTGTAGGTTTTACAACCAGCTTGAATGACGAAAAATTATGAAATACATCCATTTAGTTTGACACTAGTTTAGATTACATAAAATTTACATGCAAATGACAATTATTTTTGCAGTTTCATGTTGCCATCAATTCTACTTAAAGAATGCATGATACAACAAGCAGTAGTTTGCTGTAATAAATCATATGACTACAAACAACACCAAACACAATCAAACACGTATGTACACCATTATTAACTTAGACATGAGTACATTTATGGATATTTGCCATTATAATGTAGAAATATCTCTGCTTCTATATTCATTCCAGTAGCTAAACTTTCTAGACACCAGAGAAAAAAACCATCTAACAAAGACGATTGGCACAAAATAACTTCTCTACCAGACAGAATACCCATCTAACAGAACATGTGCACAGTTAAACACATACAATTGTACAAAAGTTACTGAGAACTTGTAGTTACAAAATTTCTGTTCAATAAACACTTGACTGAAATAAAATTGCATAAACATACTACTTTTGGTGTTAATGTCAAAGTTATTGGGTTAAAATGTTTAAATTACTTAAGGTTGATTAAAGACTTGATGCCACATAGATCAATGATTTGATGCCACTTACTATTTAGACCAATGACTTGATGCCACCTACAATATAGATCAATGAGTTGTTGCCACCTACTATATAGATCAATGACTTGATGCCACTAAACATATAGATCAATGACTTGATGCCACTTACTACATAGATCAATGACTAGATGTCAACTAATATATAGATTTTAACTGAATTTAACCAATGCAAATGTGTTAAGCATGAGATATGAAGTGGCTTTTGCAGCAGTACAGCATAAGTTAAGGTACTCTAATTGACACATTCACTTGCTCACCTCTTAAAAATAGTTCAAACATTTGTTAAATAAATGTTAAGCTAAATTAGCTTTAGAAAAAAAAAAGATCGAAGTAATTTTGCTGAAGAATTAACAACAAAATCAATGTATAAATATAGCCTTTAAGAAAATATTTCTGATCTTTGTCTTTTAAGGTTTCTTTTTATATTAAACTCTGCTGTGATTAAGTTAGCCCTATCAACAATGTGAAAATGATAGGCCTTTTGCTTACAAAAGTAATAAAAAAACGTTTTGATAACAAGCTTTTATGTAATAACTAGCCGTCCCGGCCAGGCCCGGCACTGGCCTCAATGAAAAACCTATATGTAAAGGATTATGACTTGTGTGTTTAGTAATCAGCATATATATCCGGCATTGCCCAGGTTTAGGAAATATATTGCTTTCCGAATTAACCCTAACCACAACCAACCAAAACCAAAACACAAAAAAAAAACACCGCAAACATAACACATCGCAAACACAAATAAAAACACAAACGAAAACATAAACATAAACACAAACACAACACAACCTTACAGAAGACACAAACACAACTCAAATAAAAAGCAAACGAAAAAACCCCAAATCCAAACGCAAACACAAACCCAACCAAAAAACGCAAACCCAAACCCAAAGAAAACACAAACGCAAACATAAACGCAAAGTGCTCACAGTCTAGCCCGGGACGCCAAATTGCATCATGCTGGGGCGCCGGCGGAACCACATGATTCAACTTAGTAAACGACTCAAGTACCCCAACTTATTCATAGTTTTTTGCCCTTATTTAAATGAACGTAGGCGCAGGGGCGTAGCGAGGGGGGGGGCGGGGGGGTGCGGACCGCACCAGGTGACACCATTTAGGGGGGTGACACCAAGGCAAAAAATAGCGAAATATATGAGAAAAACTTGAGGGGGGGGGTGCAAATCGAAAGTTTGAGGGGGGGGGGGGTGCAAATCGAAAACTCGAGGGGGGGGGGGGTGCAAATCGAAAGTTTGCGGGGGGGGGGGTGCAAATCGAAAACTCGAGGGGGGGGGTGCAAATCGAAAGTTTGAGGGGGGGGGGGTGCAAATCGAAAACTTGAAAGTTTGTCCCCGGGAAGGGTCGCAACGCCTCTGGGGGGGTGACACCATTGAGTGCCGCACCGGGTGACACCCGACCTCGCTACGCCACTGCGTAGGCGTCATAGCGAACACGGGTGCCGGAGGCCGCCCGGATTCGATTTAGTTAAAGACTATAGTAACCTTTTTTATCCATAGTCTATCGCACTGTTTAATACGAAATTATACTCATACAATAGCCTAGGACGCCAAATCGAAACCTGCCCGGGCGCCGGCGGACGCGCCTGGCCCCAAGCTTATCCGCAAACATAGAGGAAATTTAGGAGCTGGTTTCTACACTGTTATTGATTTAAAATAATATTGTATACAATAAATAAAAGGCAGTATTTAAAATACCTACAACATTTCACTTGATCAATCCATGCTAATTATGTAATTATTTTTTCCCAACGACAAAACAAAGTAATAAAAATTGAATGTCCCCCCCCCCCCCCACATGTATGATTTTTAAAGGGAAGTAATTGCGATTCCCTAATTTTTCAAGGGAAATAATGAGTGCTAAAGGACTAAAAGTAAATAATTTTCAGACAGAATTAGAATTTTTGTGAAGGGTGATACATATTCTTTAATTTTGTTTATAGCACATGCTGCCGTCAATTATTACTATAAGTTTGGAAAATGAAACTTGCTTTATCACAGCTTGAATATTAATTTTTTAATATAATTAATTTAGATGATGAGCACTGCAGATTTATGGCGAGCATAGAACTATCCTAGAAACCTTTGCAATCCCCTGCACTATAGAGAGCCCCTTGCACTCCCATAAATCCCTGCACTATACTGCACTTCCGTAAACCCCTCTGCACAATACTGCAATCCCATAAACCCACTGTACTATATATACTGCACTCCCTTAAACCCAAAGCACTAAACTGCACTCCCTTAAACCCAAAGCACTAAACTGCACTCCCGTAAACCCCCTGCACTATACTGCACTCCCGTAAACCCACAGCACTATACTGCACTCTAGTAGTCCCTCTGCATTATACTGCACTCCCGTAACCCCATGCACTAAACTGTACACCATTAAACCCACTGCACTATACTGCACTCCCTTAAACCCACAGCACTAAACTGCACTCCCTTAAACCCCCTGCACTATACTGCACTCCCGTAAACCCACTGCACTATACTGCACTCCCGTAAACCCACTGCACTATACTGCACTCCCGTAAACCCCCTGCACTATACTGCACTCCCGTAAACCCACAGCACTATACTGCACTCTAGTAGTCCCTCTGCATTATACTGCACTCCCGTAACCCCATGCACTAAACTGTACACCATTAAACCCACTGCACTATACTGCACTCCCTTAAACCCACAGCACTAAACTGCACTCCCGTAAACCCCCTGCACTATACTGCACTCCCGTACACCCCCTGCACTATACTGCACTCCCGTACACCCCCTGCACTATACTGCACTCCCGTAAACCCCCTGCACTATACTGCACTCCCGTAAACCCCCTGCACTATACCGCACTCTCGTAAACCCCTCTGCACAATAATGCAATCCCATAAACCCACTGTACTATATATACTGCACTCCATTAAACCCACAGCACTAAACTGCACTCCCGTAAACCCCCTGCACTATACTGCACTCCCGTAAACCCCCTGCACTATACTGCACTCCCGTAAACCCCCTGCACTATACTGCACTCCCGTAAACCCCCTGCACTATACTGCACTCCCGTAAACCCCCTGTACTATACTGCACTCCCGTAAACCCCCTGCACTATACTGCACTCCCGTAAACCCCCTGCACTATACTGCACTCCCGTAAACCCACTGTACTATATATACTGTACTCCTTTAAACCCCCTGCACTATACTGCACTCCCGTAAACCCACTGCACTATATTGCACTCCCGTAAACCCCCTGCACTATACTGCACTCCCGTAAACCCCCTGCACTATACTGCACTCCCGTAAACCCACTGCACTATACTGCACTCCCGTAAACCCACTGCACTATACTGCACTCCCGTAAACCCACTGCACTATACTGCACTCCCGTAAACCCCCTGCACTATAATGCACTCCCGTAAACCCCTGCACTTTACTGCACTCCTCTGTACCCCTGTACTGTATTGCACTATACTGCACTAAATATTTCCCATCTAACTTTCCTTCATCCCTGACATTAGCACCATCCTTAATATTAAGTTACAATTAGGGATTTGAACCTCGACCACTGCGAAGAACTAGATCTAGCAAGCCAACACCCAGTCAACTCTGCTATCCCGCTACATGCCGATTATTAAAAATTTATCTTTATGAGTTACTATATTGGACGCAGAAACATTTTGCCTTTTTGTACAGCAGATACTTATTGAGTGAAACGCAAAAATATATGTATTAGAACTAAATATGTATGATTTAAAGCATAATAAAGAAGTAATTACTTTCTCCCACAATTTATAGCAGTTTAAAATTTAGTTATTTAGTTGATAGGCCATTTCATTCCATAAACAAGACAACATGTATTATTTGGCTTTAAATAAACATTGACATTCACATATCTGTTCATTTTATCCTCTGTCCCAAAGACTCTTACGTTTTCTGCTAACTACAATCGTTTAGTAGAATCTACATATTCATTATGTAAAACAAGTATGGTGATATATCATTTGGTCAGGTAAAATACAATATTAAATAAATTACTTTTATCTCCACACAGGTCTTAATGTACGAACTTTTTATTCAATCATCCCGCCAGTATCAGGACATGTGAAGATGATGTATTCCACTAGAGTGTAGAGATGATGTGTTCTACTAGAGTGTAGGAATAATGTGTTCCACTAGAGTGTAGGGATGATGTGTTCTATTGGAGTGTAGAGATGATGTGTTGTGTAGTGTTAATGTGTTCCTCTAGAGTGTAGTGAGTGTAGTGATGATGTGTTCCACTAGAGTGTAGTGATGTTGTGTTCTATTAGAGTGTAGAGATGATGTGTTCTACTAGAGTGTAGGGTTAATGTGTTCCACTAGAGTGTAGAGATGATGTGTTTCACTAGAGTGTAGAGATGATGTGTTTTAGTAGAGTGTAGTGATGATGTGTTCTATTAGAGTGTAGAGGTGATGTGTTCTACTAGAGCAGGGGTCTCCAAACTACGGCCCGCGGGCCGAATGCGGCCCGCGAGGTCCTCTCATCCGGCCCGCGGAGATCCTTTGGTCCACAGAAAAAACGTTTGTTGGCGATGGCTGAGGAACTTTGCCTAGAAAAATCAAAGACATGCCTGGAAGAAACTGGCCCCAGAAGAAACTGGCCCCCGAACTGAAATTTGATAGTTAATGCGGCTCTCGGACTGAAAAGTTTGGAGACCCCTGTACTAGAGTGTAGGGTAATGTGTTCCACTAGAGTGTAGTGACGATGTTATCCACTAGAGTGTAGTGATGATGTTATGAACTAGAGTGTAGTGATGATGTGTTCCACTACAGTGTAGTGATGATGTGTTCCACTAGAGTGTAGAGATGATGTGTTCCACTAGAGTGTAGTGATGATGTGTTCTATTTGAGTGTAGAGATGATGTGTTCTACTAGAGTGTAGTGATGTATGTTCCACTAGACTGTAGAGATGATGTGTTCTACTAGAGTGTAGGGTTAATGTGTTCCACTAGAGTGTAGGGATGATGTGTTCTATTGGAGTGTAGAGATGATGTGTTGTGTAGTGTTAATGTGTTCCTCTAGAGTGTAGTGAGTGTAGTGATGATGTGTTCCACTAGAGTGTAGTGATGATGTGTTTCACTAGAGTGTAGAGATGATGTGTTCTACTAGAGTGTAGTGATGTTGTGTTCTATTAGAGTGTAGAGATGATGAGTTCTATTAGAGTGTAGAGATGATGTGTTCTACTAGAGTGTAGGGTTAATGTGTTCCACTAGAGTGTAGAGATGATGTGTTTCACTAGAGTGTAGAGATGGTGTGTTCTATTAGAGTGTAGAGATGATGTGTTCCACTAGAGTGTAGTGATGATGTGTTCCACTAGAGTGTAGAGATGATGTGTTCTACTAGAGTGTAGTGATGATGTGTTTCACTAGAGTGTAGAGATGATGTTTTCTACTAGAGTGTAGTGATGTATGTT